AGGCTTGCCTCGCCAGCCAGGGGCAACAGTTGGGGGGATCGGCTAAATGGGAAACGCATCGACCTCCAATCGCCCAGTCATCGCAGATAGGGGCGCAATAGCCCGCCCCACCCAGGAGCGCGCGGATTCGTCATCGGGGGCCTTATCGCCGATCTGTCGGTGATGCATCGCCTATTCTAGGCCGATGTCTCCCCTCAATGAGCCAGCTCCCCCCGACCGTTTAGGGGAAACGTAAGACTCGAGTACAATGGAACTCGGGTTCGCCAACGCTCTTCGACGAGCCCGCCCTGTATTTTGACTGGTAAGTCTTCGTGGGATGTCTGCTCTATTTGGATTTGCCTTCGGGGCCCAACTGGCTCAGACCGCCTGGCCGCCTCAAAGCGTTGGGGTCCTGGTTTGCCTGGCGGCATTGTGATTCGGACAGCGGTTGAGGCCCATCAGTGTGAAGTTGTGCGGTCGCGCTCGATCCTCTTGCTCCAACAACAAAAAAAACAGCCCTCCCCCTCCCGGCACCGCCCCAGCCCAGGCCGCGGTGCAAACAGGAGCGAGCGGGGCACCAAAGGTCGGTCGGCCGCTGCTGCCCCCGAGCCCGTCGCCGTCCGCCTCTTCCTCGCGCCGTCTTCTACTCTGCGCCGCCCAGCACACGGGGGGGCTGCGGCGGCAGGCGTGAGCAGGGGCGGGGTGGGGAAATGAGAGGAGAACGAGAACGAGGAGGATAATGAGAACGAGGAAGAGGACGAGAGCGAGGAAGGAGAGGAGAACGAGGACGAGGACGAGGAGGAGGCAGGAGATGGGAACGAGAACGAAAACGAGAACGAGAATGAGAACGAGGAGGAGAACGAGACGAGAACGGGGCCAGAGTATCAGGAGGAGGCGAGAGGAGAATTCCCAGCGGCAGCACAGCAGCAGTTGCCTCAGCAGGATCTCGAGGGAGCGAGAGGAAGAGCCTGAAGCGAGGGGCGACTGCCGCGAGGATGACGAAGAGGACAAGGGGATGGGAGGGAGGAGGGAGACACTGAGAGAACGGGAGGAGAAGCAAGCTGGAGCAGGGAGAGGGGGGGAGGACATGCGCAAGGATGGGGTAGCAGAAGCGGCAGCACCGACGGCGGCGGCGGGGGGATGTGGCAGAGCGAGAGAAAGAGAGAGAATATGCAGGAGACCGCAGGCGAGGAGCAGCGGCACAGCGAGGAACGGGCATCCAGAAACACAAAGCGGAAGGTGGGGGAAGAGGGGCGGCAGCGGCAACGGCGGCGGAAGCGGCAGCCGCAGTTCCAGCATTGGGAGTGGAGCGATGAGGAGGAGCTCGGGGAGAGGAGGCGTGGCAGGAGGGAGCTGGGAGGGCAGGATGAGGAGGGAGGGAAGAGGAGGAGGAGGAGGAGGAGGAGGAGGAGGAGGAGAAGGTGACGAGGGCCGCACTCGTACATCCCCCCCACTAACGTGGACTACCCATCTAACGTAACCCAGACCTCGGTGACACCGAGCCCGGCCCGCGCGTAATGGGCGTGACACCCTCATTCTGGCGACACGCTTGTCTCGGAATGGTCATCCGGTTTGTGCGTGGACCACATTTCTGATTAAATGTGTTGTTGCCGCTTATGCGCCAGCGACATCCTTCATTGAGCGTGTTGTTCTCGCGTGTGCGCGGGCCACATCTCTGATTGAAAATGCGGTTGCCGCTTTGGCGCCAGCGACATCCTTATTTGTGAATGTCGTTATCGCCGCGGTGCCAGCCAAATGTCTGATTGAAAATGTTGCTATCGCCTAGGCGTTGGCGATATCCTTCATTGAGCATGTCGTCGTTCTCGCCTTGGCGCTGGCCAGATCTTGGATTGAAAATGTGGCTGTCGACGAGGCGCCAGCGACATCCTTGATTCAGCATGTCGTTCTCGCCTTGGCGCAAGCCACATGTCTGATTGAACGTATTATTCAATCGCTTCGCTCATTCCGCCGGCCCATTTTTCGGCACTGCTGCTTCGACTGGCCGAGTGGTCGTTGGCGGTGTTGAGCTGCAGGGGCGTCGGCTGTTTTCTGAGGCGTTGCGTGGGGCATGATGCTGGGGCGATTCGTCTGGATTTCTTGGGAGTTGTCAAGGGGAATTGGTCGCTTTTCACGGGGCGGCCAGTTGTGTAGTGCTTTGTTGGACTTCGGGTGCCTTCGTGTGGGTTTGCCGGTACTGGATGCTCTCTCTGTGGCTTGTCGATGGGGCGCAGGGTACATTTGATGCGGCGGTGTTGGGGTCTCCTGGCAGGTGTCTCGGAAGCCTTTTGGAGGCAGTTTTGAAGCTTCTTGAGGCCTCGTCAGGGCCGTTTGGTTGCCCTGGGGGTTTGACTTTGGGTCTCTCCGGGGCTTCTTGGGACTTCTGTGTACTTCTTGGGAGCCTGCTGGCGGTCTCGGAGGGGCCCCTGGGGTCGGAAAGCTACAAGTTTCATTTCGAGTTCCCTCTCTGGGAGCGTCTTGGGCCGTATAAGAGCCCTCTTGGGCCGTCTTGGAGCCCTCTGGGGCCCTCTTGGGCGCATCTTGGGGGCATGTTCGGCCATCTTGGGGCGACCTTGGGGGGCTCTTGGGCAGACTTGGACGCTGTAAACCTCCGAACGTCGTCTATGCCAGAAGCGTACGTTTTCAAAAGGAAATGGGGCAATTGTTGCTTGTTGGGGCCCTCTTGGAGGGCCTCTTGAGGCTTTCTTGGAGCTTCTCGGCGGCGTCTAGGGCCGTCTGGTGACCAGCATAGGCGTCTTGGAGCAATCTTTCGGCGACTCGGGGCCCCTTGGACCGTCTCGTGGGCGTCTCGGAGCCTTCTTGGCGCGTTCTTGGAGCGCCCTGGGAGGCCTGGAAGGCGGCCCTCTTGGGCCATGTTGGAGCCCTCTTGGGCGCATCTTGGGGGCATGATGGGCCATCCTGGGGCGATCTTGGAAGGCTCTTGGGCAGTCTTGGGCGATGTGAACCTCCGAACGTCGTCTGCCAGAAATGCACGCTTTCCCTCGGACATGGGACGATGTTTGCGTGTTGGGGCCCTCTTGGAGGGCCTCTTGAGGCTCTCTTGGAGCTTCTCGGCGGCGTCTAGGGCCGTCTGGTGACCAGCATGGGCGTTGTTGAGCAATCTTTCGGCGACTTGAGGCCCCTTGGACCGTCTCGGGGGCGTCTCGGAGCCTCTTGGCGCGTTCCTAAAGCGTTCTGGGAGGCCTGGAAGGCGGCTCTCTTGGGTCGTCTTGGAGACCTCTTGGGCGCATCTTGGGGGCATGATGGGCCATCCTGGGGCGATCTTGGAAGGCTCTTGGGCAGTCTTGGGCGATGTGAACCTCCGAACGTCGTCTATGCCAGAAATGCACGCTTTCCCTCGGACATGGGACGATGCTTGCTTGTTGGGGCCCTCTTGGAGGGCCTCTTGAGGCTCTCCTGGAGCTTCTCGGCGGCGTTTAGGGCCGTCTGAAGACCAGCATAGGCGCCTTGGAGCAATCTTTCGGCGACTCGGGGCCCCTTGGACAGTCTCGGGGGCGTCTCGGAGCCTTCTTGGCGCGCTCCTGGAGCGTTCGGGGAGGCCTGGAAGGCAGCCCTCTTGGGCCGTTTTGGAACCCTCTTGGGCGCATCTCTCTTGGAGCTTCCCGGCGGCGTCTAGGGACGTTTGAAGACCAGCATAGGCGTCTTGGAGCAATCTTTCGGCGACTCGGGGCCCCTTGGACCGTCTCGGGGGCGTCTCGGAGCCTTCTTGGCGGTTCCTGGTGCGCTCTGGTAGGCTTGGAAGGCAGCGCCGAGGAGGAAAACCATTTCTGAGCCGCACTGGCCAGGACCTGCTCGGGGTACTTTTCGTCCGGGAGCCCCTAGAAGCCGCCCCGCGCGCGCGAACCAGACTATATTGTTAACCAGTTACCGGAGATCTCTGGCCCGATGGGCCGGCGAATTGTTGCCTTGGCGCCGGCGACATCTTTCGTTGAGCATGTCGTTCTCGTTGTGGCGTTGGTCACATGTCTGATGGAAAATGCTGCTGTCGCCTAGGCGCCAGCCGCATCTTTCATTGAGCATGTCGTTCTCGCTGCGACACTGGCCTCATCTGATTGAAAATGTTGTTTTCGCCTAGGCGCTGGCCGCACGCACGATTGCGATAACAATTGTTCCCGCCAGATTCTTCATTGGAAACGAAGAATTAGTGATACAGTTGGCACTGTTGCATTGCATGTTGCTGTGTCGCCACATTATGGTGCATCATGTGCTACATCGCGCGCGTGACGCACTGGTGTCGCCGATCCATTGGTCACCTGAGCTTTAATGGGCCAGGTTAGCTTTGGCGCAGTGCCGACAGGGCCTAGGTCAGGTGCCACATTAGGGGGGAGCTTGTAGAGGCAAAGGTCCGCAGCTCAAAGCTCGCAGGAGGAGGTGGGGCGAGGGTGGAGCGAGAAGGATGAAGAGGGGGAGGAAGGGGGCCAAGAGATGGATGAGCTGAGAAGGAGAGCCCGCAGGGGGGGAATATGGAGAGCAGGGTGGGAGAAGTGCAGCAAGGAAATGGATGAAGAGAGACGGAGGGAGGGAAGGGCAGAGAATGGACGACGCCCACGACGACGACAACGGTGACCACGACGGCGACAACGACGGCGGCGGCGGCTTCGACGGCGACGACGACGGCAGCGGCGGCGAAGGCGAAGGCGAAGGCCAAGGCGAAGGCGACGGCGACGGCGACGCCGCGGGGCAGCCGCCCGCCTCCCCCCCCTCTCGAGCAGGGGATCCATTACAGAATTGATTTACCCCAGAATTTAATTTTCTCGTCGAGTCTACGGAAAGTGTGTAGAATTCACCGTAGATTTTCGTACGACAACTGTACGCATTCGTCGTAGGTTCGATAGGGGGAAATTCATTTTGGGGTCGATCAGTTCTGTAGTCGATCCCCGACTCGACCCGCAGGACTCCGCGACGCCCTGCCCCCCGCGCTGCAGGACGTCGCCGGGGGCGGCGAAGGCGCCGTGCGAGCCTGGCCTGTCGGTCGTTCGCCGTCGCCGTCGCCGCCGTCCTGCTGCCCCCCTCGGGGACACGTAATGCTCGAGTGCGCCGGAACTCGGGCTTGCCGACGCGCTTTTTGACGAGCGCGTCTCGGATATTGACGGTCCAGTTTGCGTGTGATGTTTGCAGCGGGAGCTCGCGAATAATTTCAGACCAGGTCTCGTCATTGTCATGATGGCGCGCGCCGTCAGGCCAACCCGAGTCCCCCGAACCCGAGTCTTGCGTCTCCCCGATCCTCCTCTGCCTGCTCCTCCATCCATCCATGTTCCTTACAAGCAAGTCCTCCCTGTCGCACCCCCACACGTGTTGGTAGGGCGGGCCCGGCGTTTCGCCTGAGACTTCCGTTTATGATGCGTGGAAATTGCAACAGTCTCGCCGATGGAAGGCGGGTTGTTTTCAAAATGTGGCGCTTGCCGTATCGCCGCGCACATTCGTGTTCAACATTTACAACAGCTTCAATGATGGAGGGCGGGCCCTGTTCAAAATGTGGCTCTCGCCCTAGCGCCGCACACATTCGTCTTAAGAGTTTTTGTTGTAGTTTCGACGATTGAGGCCGCATTCTTTCCAACATGTTGTTCTCGACTCAGAGTCGCGCAGATTCATCTTCCAAGTTTGCGGCAGTTTCAAGGATAGCAGGTAGTTTTCAAAATGCGGCTTTCGCCCCAGCGCCGCGCACATTCTTCTTTAGACTTTGCAGCAGTTCTGAGGATGGAGGGCGTTTCCGTTCCAGAATGTTGCTCTCGCCTCAGCGAGGCGCGCCCTCATTTTGTTAGGTTATAGCAGTTTCAAGGGTTCGTAAGGTTGACGCTCCAGAAATAGCGTTCTGGCAATATTTAGGATAGTCAGGGTGCAACAGTCACGCTTGTTTGGTGCGTTGAAGTCCAAGGAATTGCGTTCCAGAAATCTGAGGGTTGGCAGGACGCGCAACAGTCACCTTGATTCGTGGCGTTGAAGCCCCAGGATTGGATTGTTGGGCACGGTTGGGGATTCTCCAACGGTTATTTTCCAATGGGACATTTCCCGCAACGAAAAACAATGTCTGTAGAGACTTGTGAAGAGGCACCTTAGAGGGATGCTTTTTCAACATTGTTGGTGTGTCTTGGGTTTGCATTGGTCCTCCTCCTCAGCCTTCGGTTGCCCCCCGTTTCAGGAGGGTGGTATCCTTCATCCCTTCTTCTTCTGAATGACGCATCCCTGCCGCCCCCCCCCCGACGTATCAGTAGGGCGGGCTCGGCGTGTCGCCTGAAACATCCTCACCCATTATGACGTCGAAGCTTGAAATTTGCAGCAGCTTCTCTGATGGAGGGCGGGCCGTTTCCAACATGTGGCTCTCGTCTTATCGCCGCGCACGGTTTCAACGGTTTCAGTGATGGAGGACAGGTGTTCTTCAAAGTGTGGTTCTCTCCCCAGAGCCGCACACATTCGTTTAAACAACATTGCATAAGCTTCACGGATGGAGGGCAGGTCCTTTTCAACATGTGACTCTCGCCCGAGCGCCGCGCACTTCCATTTCAAAATTTGCAACGGGTGGCTTCCAACATGCTGCTCTTTCCCTCGCGCCGTGCACATTCGTCTTAAAACACTTCGTTAGTTTCACCGATGGAAGGCGTTTCCGTTTCACAATGTGGTTCCCGCCGTTGCGCCTCGCGCATTCGTTTTGCAAGTTTGCAGCAGTTTCGAGAATACGTATGGTTCAAGTCTCAGGGGTAGTGTCCTCTTGCGTTGAGTCCCAACGGTCACGTTGATTCTTTGCGTTTGAGTCCCAGGAATGGTGTTTTGGCACGATTGGCAATTTTCAAACATTTGTTTCCAATAGGACATTCTCCGCAACCAAAGGGAATTCTTGTAGGGTTCTACGGAGAGGCAAGTCGGAGGGAGGGCTTATTGCAACATCGTTGACGAGTCGTGGGTTTACACTAGTCCTCCTTCGCATCCTTTTCATCTCCCTTCCCCACTCCCTCCTATCCTGCATCCCTATTGTCGGGGGAAACGGCGGAGGGGAAGGGGGGCGGATTGGAGAGGGCCGGGGCGGGGGGAAGAGCAGAGTTGGGGGAGGAGGATGAGTTGGAGGAGGAGGGGGAAGAAGTCGCCGACGACGATGGTCATCAACTTGACCATCGTCATCACCTCATAATCATCATCATCAACATCGGCATCATCATCATGATCACCATCACCATCAGCATCATAATCACCACCATCATCGTCACCACCATCACCATCACCATCATCGCCATCATCATCATCAGCATCATAATTCTCATCATCACCATCACCATCATCATCGCCATCGTCGCCCAACGGCTACGTTTTTGCGCCCACCTTGGGCTTGAATCGTGGCCACTGCGACACCTCACTGGAGGTACGTCTTTCTCTGGATACGTATGGCCCTTCCCAAGAAAAGAGTACACCCCGCAGTAAGGCAGGCCGGCATGACTGCAGCGCCTCCCCCGGGCCTCGCTGGATATGGCGGCGCCCTCCTGCCCGGACGGTTTCCGCACGATGTGGAATCCTTTCCCGTATCACATGTTGTTCTTGCTGGGCCTCGCCCGCACTGCGGCTGCTGGCCCCGCCCCTGGGTGCGCCCGCGACGTCGCCCCACGCGCTCCCCGCGGCGCCGCCGCGTGAGAGTGCCCCCCGCCTCCCCCTCTTCCCCCGCGGCCGCCCTCTCCTCCCCCTCTTCCCCTCTTGCACGCGGGGCAATTCGCAACTCCGCAGCCCGCTTGTGCTCCACGCGCGAGCGGCTCGCCTTTGCCTCGCTGCGACGGGAAACAAGCATTGGGCTGGCCGCGTCACTTGGAATCACCAGACGCGGTTGCAAACCCAGCCCGTCGCGTTGTGCACACCGTCCTTCTTCGTCGACGGCAGCTTGCCGACGACATCCGTACTCTCAGAATTCTGCGACCGCCGCACTGAGGAGCCCCGAGTCGCTACATTGCTGTCATGACTCGATGGGTCCCCGCTGCGTCCGCCCCTCATCATTCCTGCAGGCAGGCAATGCTATCGCGGTGGCGCCTCCCGTGGTGATCGGGGGTTTGAGAAACGGGTTCGACTACGCTGACATACACGCGTGAGCTTCCCGCGAAGGGTCGCGCGCGCGTAAGCGCCTTCGTTCCCAATGCAGCGTTCCGCGCTGGCGGCCCGCATCTGCCACCGCGTAAGATCGCTATACCATCTGGCGTGAGGCCCTTCTTAGTGTCGCTCACTTGGCCTGTGGACGTTCGCTCCCTTCCCCGCTCTCTTCCTGCAGCCCCTCACCTCCGTCGCGGCCGACCGAGCCCCTCGCCCCCAGGGCGCCCCCCCCAAGGGCTTCGGGGGCAATGCCAAGCAACACATTTCACGTGGCACGCTCACGCAAAACTCCAGCGAGGACAAAGCATATGGACTCCCAAATCATAGGGGAACTAAGTATTTCACCCCCGACCAGAAACGTTTCAAAGGGTCCCATGCGTCCGTCCATGCCTGGAAATATAGTCGAGCGAAGTGTGGTCTGGAAATATAGTCGAACGACGTTTGAGACCAATTACGCCATTCAAATAAGAAGCCGTCATCCTCATGGGTAGTACGTGCTGGACAATGCTACATGTTTGGTGTGATAGTTTGAGGAAGGTTCTGGCGAGAGTCCCAGTTTGGAACACGAGCCCGCGAACGTAATTCTTGCACACGGTCACACTTGTGCTGGTATTGCTTGAGGAAGTCCCGGGCGAGAGCCCCACATTAAAAACGACCAGGCCTCCATCAGTGAAGTTGTTTGGCACTTTTGAAACGAATGTGCGCGGCGTCAAGACGGGAGCAACATTGTGGCCACGACCTGCCCACCAGACGTGAATATGTTGACCACACAAACGTGCGTGTGCTGTGTTAAGGCGAGGTCCGCACTATGAAAGGACTTGTCGTCTGTCAGTGTGACTATTGGATGTTGCAGGCGTCGGGGTAACAGATCTTGCTGAGCCTACGGGCGCGACTGGTTATGCGACAGGGAGGCGTTATCTGCAAGGAAGAAGGGTGCAGCATCAGGAGGAGGAGTAGGAGGAACAGATGAAGGATGTGGAGGAGGAGGAGGAGAAGGAGGAGGGAGGAGGAGGGACAGTGAGGTGGAGGGGGAGGAGGAGGGAGGAGGAGCGTGGAGAAAGAGAAGCAGGAGGAGGAGGAGGAGTAGAGAGAGGAAGAAGAAGAATAAGAAGAAGGAATAGAGGGAGGAGGGTGAAGAGGAGTTGGAGGAGTTGGAGGAGTTGTTGGAGGAGGAGGAGGAGGAGGAGGAGGAGGAGGAGGAAGACGAGGGAGCAGGAGGAAGAGGAGAAGTGAGGTACGAAAAGAGGATCAGGTGTGGCAGGAGCGGGAGGAGGAGGAGGAGGAGGAGGAGATCGGCGACTTCCCCCGCGCGGCCGCGAAGCGGCCCCCAGGCTCCCGGCCTTTGCGCTTCGGGCTCCAGTGCTTGCACGCGGAGGGCGTTGACGCGGTCGCCCACCGTCTTCCGTTGTCGTCTTCGTCGCGAGCGGTGCTCGAATGTCTTGGACGGTTTTCGGGGGTCTCGATTCCCTCGATTGTTGTCGTCATCGTCGTCGTCGTCGGTCGTCCGTCTGGGCCTCGTGGGGGGTGCTCTCACACCAGGGACACCTGGAACCACCCTCTCGATCGGGGGGAAATCAGGGGATCGCGATTACGTCGTCGTTTTCGGCACCTGGAAGCCGCATCCCGCATCCGGGCCCCAAGAAAGTCGACCATCGGCACAGGACGAACAGCTCGCCAGGATGGATTCCTCTGTCCTTCCATCTTCATCGTCCGTCATCCGTCGTTCGCCGTCATGTTCGTCAGTTGTCGTGGTCGTCCGTCTTTGGTGTCTGTCGTCGCCCGTCGTCCGTGCCGTCTGTCCATCTGTCGCCATCGCCGGCATCGTCCGTCGTCATGGTCGCCCATCGTCGTCCGTCGTTCATCATCATATGTCGTCGTCCGTCCTCGTCGAAGTCTGTTTCCCGCTCTTCCTTTCGGTGGCAGCTTGCCGTCCTCGTCGGAGTCGGTTTCTCCCACCCTTCCTCTCGGCAGCTTCTGGAGGCTCTGGTGCCCAGGCGTGGCCCCCAAGACCTGGGCGTGAGGCCATCTCTAGGCCGTCTCGGGCTCCTCGTCCCTTCTGGAGGCCTCCTTTGGCCGCTCTTCCTCAACTCTGCGCGCCTCCACGCCGCTTCTTATTATTATCACGCGCAGCTGTCAGAGACCACCCTTGTCCTGAGAGTCTGTGCGCTACTGGGCGTCCAGACCGCCTCGGGCAGCCTCGTATCTCCTCGGATGGCTCTGGACAGCCTGGGAGAGCCTCACACTGTCTCTGAAAGCTTCGGACGGCCTCGGGCGCCGTGCATTCGGCAAATCTAGGGGGACAGAATGTCCCCCACAGACTCGACTGAACCCTCCCTGAGCATCTTCCCCGGGGGAAGCGGGACCCGCATACCTTGGGACTCCTCGGCGCCGACTCTTCCTGCTGGGGCCGTTTCTGGAAGGTCCCGGTGCCCAGGGAGGGCCCCGCACCGCTGAGAACCCCCCCAAAAGACGCGGTTTGCTTCGCCCTCCGAGCTCCGCCGGGGGACAGCATGGCCAGAGCCTCGAGGCGCACAGCGAGGCACCACGAGAGGACGAACAGCACTCCGATCGCCTCGAGCCTCGACGAGGACGGCCGCGGCGGCGAGGACGGGACGGTCGCCGGGCGGCCACGGCGAGGACGCACGGTGGACGACGGCCGGCGCGGGCGGCGGCCCGCGGCCCTCGGCGCCGGCGCCTGGCGGCCGCGGCAGGTCTTCGGCAGCGGCGCCCGGCCGGCCGTGCTGGCGCAGGCGGTGAGGCGCGCGCGCTCCGCGGCGCCGCGCCGCCGCCGCCGACCGCGCGCCGCCGACGGCCGGGGCGCCGAGCCGCTCGGGGGCGCAGCGCGGCGGCGCGCCCCCGAGCGATCTCGACGTCGACGCCGCCGCCGCCGGTCGCCGTCGGCGGCCGCCGCCGTGCGTCGTCCGTGGCTGCCGTCGCCGCCCGTCGCTGTCCGCGGGCCGGCGACGCCGCGGCGCCTTGGAGCTTTGGGCGCCGTCGTCGATCGAAGATCGAGGAGGAGGCTGACTGCTCAAAGGTCGTTGGGCGTTCGGGGGGCCGTTTCAGCTCGTCGGTCGCCTCCACAGGCCTCTGGAGAACTCTGAGGACCACCAGGGCCCTCCATCCGTAGTCCGTCGTCCGTGATCGTCGTCCGTGGTCGTCGTCCGTCGTCCGTCGTCCGTCGTCTTCGTCGCCTGCGTGCGTGGTCCCCTGGGACACAGGCCCTGGTCCAATGCATGTTGGCCCGCTGCTGCCGCATCCCGCCTCCCCACCTAGCGGGCGTGCGGGACCCAGCCGCAAGAGAGAGAGGAGGAGGAGGAGGAGGAGGAGGAGGAGGAGGAGGAGGAGGAGGAGGAGGAGGAGGAGGAGGAGGAGGAGGAGGAGGACGTCGGCGCCCGACGCCTCCGAGTGTAGTGCGACTTCCGCAGAGGGAGGGCTGCGGGGCCGCCCTGCCGGCGACGGGCCGCCGTTGTGTCTTCCGGCCTCGGGGCCCAGTCGCTACCGGCGGCGGCCCGCGCGCCCCGAGGAGAGAGAGGCTGGGGAGTTCTGCGACCAGGCCAAAGTTTTTCGGGGGCGTCAGAGAGCTTTGCATCGCGCGGACGTGTGCATTTGTTCGTCGGCGAGAACCATCGAGGAACATCCTGGATCATCGAGCGAAAATCGAAAAATGCACCAGGAATGGACGTCCGAGCGATGGCGAGAGAGGGGGGTGAGGACCCAGATGAGTACGTGTGTGTGGGGATATCATGGCACGGGCCATGAATATCCGATCGCGTGGTTTCTTATCTCAGAAAGAGCATGTTCTACCGTTGCTGGCAGAAAACCGGGGGGGGGGGTCACTGGGGGTTCCCAACCCGTCCCCCCCTCTCGAAAAACGGAGGGGATCATTGGGGGTTCCAACACCCCTTTCCCCCGCGGTCCATCATAAAAAGGGGGGGGTCATTACCGGTTCGAACTTTCCCCCCCCCCCCCGGTCCTGGAAAACCAGAGGGGGTCATTTTTGGTTCGAACCCCCCCCCTCCCCCCCCATCACCCCTCGCCGCAGCGACCCCCGTCCTCACCCACTCCGGACGGGGGACTGGTGGGGACAATGGTTGGGATGGTGGTGGGGATGGTGGATGGTGGTGGGAAGTGGGGACAGTGGGAAGAGTGGGACCGTGGTGGGGACAGTGGTGGGAAAAGTGGAGGCAGTGCGACAGTGGTAAGGGCACTGGCGGGGACAGTGGGGACAGAGGTGGGCACAGTGGGGACTGTGGGACAGTGGTGGGGGCACTGGAGACAGTTGGACGTGAGGACGGTGGTGGTGGGGAAAGCAGTGGGACAGTGGTGACGGTGGTGGTGGGGACAGTGGTGAGGGCGGTCGTTAGGACGGTGGTGGGACAGTGGTACAGTGGGTAGAGTGGTGGGGACAGTGGGGAAAGAGGGACAGTGGTGGGGACTGTGTGGACAGTGGGGCAGCACAGTGGAACAGCGGTGGGGACAGTGGTAGCAGTGGAACAGCGGTGGGGACAGTGGGGACAGTGGAACAGTGGTGGGGATAGTTTGGACAGTGGGGAGAGTAGGATCGTGGTGGGGACGGTGGTGGTGGGGACAGTGGGGACAGTGCGACAGTGGTGGGGGCATTGGTGGGGAAAGTGGGGTCAGTGGTGGGAACAGTGGGGACAGTGGGACAGAGGTGGAAACAGTGGGGACTGTGGGACAGTGGTGGGGACGGAGGTGGTGAGGACAGTGGTGAGGGGACACTGAGACAGTGGTGTGGACAGTTGGGACAGTGGTGGGGACGGTGGTGGTGGGGACAGTGGTGAGGGCGGTGGTTAGGACGGTGGTAGGACAATGGGACAGTGGTACAGTAGGGAGAGTGGTGGGGACAGTGGGGAGAGTGGGACAGTGGTGGGAACAGTGGGACAGCTCAGTGGGACAGCGGCGGGGATAGTGGGGAAAGTGGGACAGTGGTGGGGACAGTGGGACAGTTGTGGGGACAGAGGGGACAGTGGGGAGAGTGGGACCGCGGTGGGGACAGTGGCGGGGACAGTGGGGACAGTGCGACGGTGGTGGGGGCATTGGTGGGGACAGTGGGGACAGTGCACAGCGGCAACAGTGGGATAGTGTCGGGGACGGTGGTGGTGGGGACGGTGGGGACAACGGTGAGGGCCGTGGTGAGGACGGTGGTGGGGACCCGGGAGTCTTTTGCTGGCGGCGCGGGGGGGGGGGTTCGAACCGGTAGTGGCCCCCCTCGGTCTTCTGAAGGGAGGGGGGGGGAAGGTTCGAACCGGTAGTGACCCCCCCCCCGGTTTTCCGGAGAAGGGGGGGGTGGGGGGGGGGCAGGGGTTCGGGGGGGGTTTTGCGGAAGGGGGGGGGATTCGAGCAGGGGTGGGGATTTTCGGAGGGGGGGGGGGACCCCGTGGGTTCCGGAGGAAGGGGGAGGGAATTTTCCTTAGTACAGCGGCGGTGGATCATGCTTACTCTTATCTCAAGGCCCTCCATGACCCCCGCCCCCTCGTCAGCGCACACGGATCGGGTCATGATGCGCTACCCCCTCTTCCTGGCCCCCCATTTGGCGCACCCTGCCAAGGTTCGCCTCCCGCATTGCCATTCCAGGCCCTCCGAATGGGGCCAGAGTTCGCCATGAAGCAAACGAGAATGAGTCCTGAGTTTCCCGCCGCTTTTGGACCCTAGGGATCGTCACTGGGCAAATGGAACGTCAGAAAACTACTCGGGATGGAGAGCTGGTCCTGGGGGAAGGCCCTGGGGTCCAGGACCCGTTCCAGTCCTGGCGAGGAGAAGACACCCCGTTTCTAGCGCGCGAAGCGCGCCAGGGGCGGTCTGGAGGCGCCGCCAGAGGGGATCAGCGCAGAGAAAATTTGCGCGGACCTCCGAAACAATCTGTTCATGCAGCTGTCGTGTTCTTCTCGAGCAGGAGCACGAGGGAAGGAGCTGGAGGAGCAGGAGGCGCAGGCAGCAGGATGAGCAGGGTACAGGAGGGTAGGATCAGAAAGCCCAGGGTTCGCCAGGGACAGATTCCGTAGCCATTTTGGCTCAAGGGGATAGCCGCTTCGACCCAAGTCGTCTTCGCTCAGGTCGCATTGTGTTTCGGGCAACGGTAGCTGCGCAGTGTCTTGCTTCGAGTGCTTCGCAGGCATCTGCGGCGGTGGGGAGCATACAGCAAGTAGAAGGCGGCGCTGAAGAAGGCCCAGGGTTTGGTCGTGGAGCCAGTGAAGGATAAGTCCTGCGCGCCAACTCTCGTGCGCACGGCCTAATTACCATGACTCAGGCACGTACGACAAGGCCAACGCAGGCAAGTCGTGGTCGAATGCGGGAGGCGCCATCGGTTCGACTATCACTGAACACGATATTATCACGGGCTCGAACGTGAGCCTGCAGAAGGCCAGCACTTCTTACCTGCAGCCCATCAAGGACGCGTGTGGCGACGACATCTCATGGGCAGACCTCATTCAGCTGGTCTCCGCCAAAGGGATCGGTTTGGAAGGCGGGCCCAAGATCCCCATGATGTATGGGCGCCTGGATGGCGTTCCCACAGAGCTGCAGCCGCCCCCGTTCGAGGACATCGTGCCACTCAGCGGCGCCCACACTCTCGGCCGAGCCTTCGCGGACCGCTCTGGCACGGTGGAGAAGGGCTTCAGGGGGGGGGGGGCAAGTACACCACGCGCGGCTACCCGTACATGGCGAACTCTCTGACGGCTGTCGGTCGTTCTTGGACGAAGATTTGGACGAAGTTTGCCAACACGTATTTCACCGACATGGCCAAGGATGACCCAGAGCGCATCGGCTTCCCAACCGACAAGTGCCTGATGACTGCTCCAGAGTTCAAGCCGCATTCTGACTTGTTTGCTAGGGACCAGAAGGCGTTCTTCGAGGCTTACAAAGTATCGCACAACAAGCTTTTGAAGCTCGGGTGCAAGTTCGACCCGCCCCGAGGAGACCAATCTGAGCGCATTCGTGGCCGCCACGTGAATCAGAACGTTGCAAATATCATTGTTTAATCTGATTGTAGTGGTAATTACCCGAGCACTTGCAGCGCGCATCTTCCGGACAGGCTGTCCCAATTCTAGACGCTTCGCGTATCCCCACCAGCCCGTCCAGAAACGACGCCCAGGCGAGTAGAGGGTCGTCCTGAGGGGTTTTTCGGCGTCTTGCCTCGGGGGGGCCTCTGTGGGCCGTTCGGAATCCTCTTTGGGGCCTCCTGGGGGCCTCTTGGGGCCTCTTTGGGCCATCTTGGGGCCTCTGGGAGCACCTTGGGTGCCTCTGGGGGGTCTCTTGGGGCCTCTTGGGGGTCTCTTGGGGGCCTCCTGGGGGCCTCTTGGGGGGCCTCTTGGGGCCATCTTGGGGCCATCCTGCGGCCTCTTGGGGCATCCTGGGGGCCTCTTGCGGCCATCGTGGAGGAAATCGATCAAAGAAGAGGGGTTCCTAAATTTCAGCCCCCCCCTCAGGAGCCACGATCCTCGTGAGAGGTGTCGAGTTTTAGCCCTCCCAGGGGTCGTTCTTGGACGCTCTAACTACCCGCGGCCCCCCCTGTCCAGGTCAGTGGGGAGGGGGTAGGGGAGGGGTAAACCCCTCCCCGAAGGGGAAGAAGGAGGGGTGGAAGAGGAAACGCTCTAAACCACCGACGCCCAGAGGGCTGGTGGGATTTTGTTGTTTAGGCTCCTGCTGATGATTGCAGCCATCCGCACTGTTCCAGCCTTTTGCCCCTGTAGGGATGGAGCCATCGAAAAGATGCGCGCTGGAAGGTGACCGCGCGCAGAAAAACAACAACAAATATTCGCCAGGTGCTGGTTCCCCCCAGAAGGACCCAAACCCTCCTGAACCCCTGGCAGAAATCGCCGGAAAAAGGTTCATGGAACCCTTTGGGGAGGGTCTTCGTCGGAGGGGTTCGGAGAGGCGCCAGTCGTTTTGGGGGGAGACCCATCCTCGGCGAAACCTGGACTTTCCAAGGGCAGGAGGGCAGGGAGCACGGGGGAGGAGCGCAGCGCCTGGCTGCCCCGCGCGGCTGCCGCGTGCCGACTGGGCCCCAGGCGCGGAGTCTCCTCCGCCCTGGGCTGGACCCCGGACGACGGCGACTCCGAGGCGGGGGCGGCGCGGGCTGGTGGCGCGGCCCATGTCGAACTGTACTCGGCGGCGAGCGAGGGGGGGAAGCGAGGAGGAGAAGGTCTACTCAGAAGGCGACTGGGCTTCTCCGAACCCCTTTGGCCTTCTGCAAAGTGTTCTGCGTCTTCGGGGAAGGCTCAGAAAGCTTCTCAGAAGGCCCAGGGACTTCCGAGCCTTCTGAGAAGGCCCGCCCCTTCTCACTTCCCCCCCGCGCTCGCCGCCAAAATACGCACGTGGCGCTCCGCAGTTGCGGGTGCAGCCGCGTCGCGCAATAAGGGTTGGCGGCTCTCCAAGGCTACCCCTTGGAATCCTTGCTGCTTGGACGTAACTATTCTTGGCGACCTTCGCTGGCAGAGCCGCGTTCGAAAACGCAAGCATAGCCCCCAAATGCCCTTGCATCCTTACAGCGCGTCTTTAGTATGCGACTGGACTGCGCGCCCGCAGCATTTTGCAACTGCGGATCAGAGTGAGGCGGCGGGCGGGCGGGTCGCGGGGCGGGTCTCGGCGTGGGTCGCGGGGCGGGTCGCGGGGCGGGTCGCGTGGCGCGTCGCGGGGCGGTTCGCGGGCGGGTCGCGGGGCGGGTCGCGGGGGGGGACGACGGCAACAACGACAGCGCAACGCAAAACACAACAACAATCCGCGCAGCAGAGTCACAGTTCAGCCACGCACCCAGAGACAATGCATGACCGTTCGGCCCGTCACGTTGACCGCTGAAGCTACGTAGACAAAAGCTCTTGAAGGTCCGCGCAGATCCGTGAATCTGCGCTGGGCGCCTCAGGCGCCGCCCGTGGCGCGCTCCGCGCGCCAGATGGGGGAGGGGGCGCGCCGACCAGAGAAGGCCCGCGCGGAACTTCGGGAATACATGTCACATGTTTGTACTGCTCTAGCCTGAAGGAGGAAGTGGGCGAGGGGGGGAGAAGGAGCAGGAGGAGCAGGAGGCTCGGCATCGCTCGGAAGTGCGCATTTGTTTCAGCAGCCTTACGAGAAGGCACACGCACGGAACCGACAAATGCACGGGAAGGGACGTCCGAGTGAGGGCGAGGAGGCAGACTTAGAGATCGGACCTCTCAATGACATTGAGACACTGTGCAAAATCGCGCTTGAAGCCCCAGACCCTTTCTTGCTGCTCCATTTTTCCAACCGGTTGATCTGTGAGGGTCGCAGGGCCCGAAATTATGCGGAAACGCCCCCAGCTCTAGAAAATCGAGTCGCCAGGACCTCAGTGGAGGAGGAGGAGGAGGAGGAGGAGGAGGAGGAGGAGGAGGAGGAGGAGGAGGAGGAGAAGGAGAAGGTGGAGGAGGAGGAGGAGGAGGAGGAGGAGGAGGAGGAGGAGGAGGAGGAGGAGGAGGAGGGGAGCGGGGCGTGCCTTATTGCGGTGGGCTGGTTCGAGGCGCGGGCTCGAGGGCGGCTCGGGCCAGCGGGCCCCGAGGCGAGCGGGCCCAGTCGAGCGCGTGGGCCCCGTGGCGGATGGGTCTGGGCGCGGACCCCGCAGCGGGCGCGTCCTGAGTCTCGGGCGAAGACGGGCCCCAGAAGTCGGGCGGTCGGCCGGCTTCTGGCGGGGTCGCTGGGCGAAATCGGGTCGGGCAGGCGGACACATTCTGGCGGCGGGCCGAGGTCGATCGGACGAGGCCAGGGCGAGGATAAATCCGTTCCATCCACGGCGTTCCCGAACGCTCTCAGAGCCTTCCGGAACGCTCTGAGAAGGCCGCGGCGCCCGAGATATCCTCCAGAGCCGCCAGATCCCAGAGATTCTCGATTTATCCTCAATGTTTCCCTCGTCCTGGCTTCGTCTTAGTCGAGCAGGCAGGGCTCCTGGCGGGGTGGTCCCGGGCGGGCGGGCTGACACCGGGTCGGGCGGACGCGTCGGGTGGGCGAGCCCGAAGTCGGGCGGTCGGTCCATTCGGGGTGGCAGGCCTCGAGTCGGGACGGGCGGGCGCCTCGAGGCGGGCGGGGGGGTGAGAGGGGTTTGTGCAGGCTCGGCTGGGCGAGATCAGCACGCAGGGAAGGGGTTAGTTCCGGTCGAGCTGAGCCTTGCGAGCTCGCCCCGGCGGCCCAAGCTTGGGCGGACTCGGGGCGGGGGAGGGCCAGGGAAACGTGTCCTGAGGGAAGCGGGTCCTGAGTCCCGGGGCTCTCCTCGACGACACGTAAGAGTGACCCTTCGCCGGAGTGACTTTTGGTGCGGGCCCACTGGGGCCCCCGATCACTGAACGAGATGCGCTGTCAGCGGCTGGCGCGCTTGGCTTAGGCCCTCCTCGCGCCCTCGCACCAAAGGTCCCTCTTGCCCAGGGTCGCCCTTGCGTGTGGCCGACCTCCCAAGAACCAGCCCTTCACGCAGAGCCGGTCTTCCACGGCCCCGGTCCCGTGGAGGGCCCCGGGGAGCGGAGCACGGCGGCGTCCCGGGCCCCTCTCCTCCAAGGGGGAGGGAGGGTGGCCAGCCGAGCGGCGCCTCTGGGGTGAGGCGCGGTGCCGTGGTGTGCGCCGTGGGGGAGCGCGCGCGCGCGGATCGAGCCGGGGCGTGCTCTCGGCAGTGCAGGTTCAGAGTCGAACGGCTGCAGCCTGGGCGAGATCGGCTGGCCAGGCCGAGCGGAAGAGTGGGCGTGCTCGGCCGTCGGCCAGGCGAGCTCAGCATGGGCGAGTGCAGCCTGGGCGAGTTCGGGCGCCTTTCCTCCTCCTCCTCCTCCTCCTCCTCCTCCTCCTTCTCCTTCGCCTCCTTCTCCTTCGCCTCCTTCTCCTCCTTCTCTTTCTCCTCCTTCTCGTCTCCTCCTCCTCCTTCTCCTCCTCCTCCTTCTTCGCCGCCTTCCTCCTCCGCTTCTTCCTCCCTCCAGACCTGGTCAGCTTGGGAAAACCGCTGGGATGTCCGCATCTTCCTAATAACGGTAGTTAGTTCTTCGCCGCTACGAAAGTTCGGCCAAAATTCGAAGCCTCCCGTTAGGCGACGGGGCCCCAGTACAACGTTGGCAGTGGGCCCGTTAGGCCGCGGGGCCCCAGTACAATGTTCGGTTGAAGCATTTGTCGCTCCAGTCCCGGGCGGCACCGCCCTTTCGAAATCGAGCCCGCGGGTTTCGAAATCCAGTCGAGCTCGTTTTGGGGAGGAAGTCTTAGGCGAAAGCCACATTTCGAAATCGAGCCCGAGGTTTTCGAAATCCAGTCGAGCTCGTTTTGGGGAGGAAGTCCTAAGCGAAAGCTGCATTTTCGAGTTTTCGGGTCAGGGCTTTTCAAACTTTTAAATGTCAATCGGTGTGGCCATTTCGAAACAGTGGTTTCGCTTGATACATCCTCGAAAAAAAACGATTTCGAAGGATTTCGAAACTTTCGGATTCGATTTCGAAGTGGCGTTCCCGCCTAGGACTTCCGCAAACATAGAATTCGAAACCTTTCTGCTTCGATTTCGAAATGGCGCTCCTGCACAGGACTTTCTCAAAAATAGAAGTCGAAACCTTTCTGCCTCGATTTCGAAATGGCGCTCCCGCACAGGACTTCCTGCAAAATGAGGTTCGGCATTTGTCCCGCTCGAACTCGAAATGGCGCTCCCGCCCAGGAATTCCTCCAAAACAGAATTCGACCACGACCACGACGACGACGACGACGACGACGACGACGACGACGTCGACGACGACGATGGCCACGACGACGACGACGACGACGACGACGACGGCGACGACGACGACGGCGGTTACGATGTTTACATGCGCTCTCGCCTGAATGCCGGACACTCCTTAGTTCTCGCCTCACCGCCGGCCAGTGTCTCGGTCTGGCCGACCGCTCTCTGGGGTGGCGCACAGAGAGGCCCCCGGTGCGGCGCTGGCCCCCTTCCGGAGGGGGGGGACGTGCCAATGTTCAGGCGTTGTTTAGCTGAAACCGCAAAACGGGTCAAAACGTTCGTAGTGCCGATGTAGTAATAACAGTAATACCCAACACGAGTACTAATATTCAGTTGCGTTGCATTACTCAACCTAATACTAAAACTCATACGCATACGAACAAGTCTCCGAATACAACTAACACCAACCTTAACATGCACAATAACGATCATAGCAATGGCACTAAACATGGTACTACTAGTACAACTGATAATAAGTTTGTGAATCATAATATGAGCACTCATATTGCGAATGTAATCAGTACGTTTCTTCTTCATTGAACGGTCGAGCCAGTCACGAGAAAGGCCGCGAGAAGGAGATTGGCTGGGGGAGGAGGAAGAAGAGGAGGAGGAGGCGGAGGAGGAGGAGGAGGAGGAGGAGGAGAGGGAGGAGCGTGGAGGAGGAGCGTGGATGAAGGCGAAGTGAGAGGGATGGAGGACGACGACGGAGAGTAAAGGGCAGGACCAGGAGATGGCGGGCAGGAGGAGGCAGCGAGGGAGGAAGGGAGGGATGGAGGACGGTGGGGGGGCAGCCAGGTCGAAGAAGAAAAAGAACAGGAATAAAATTGTAAGTACCAGGACAGGACGAGTAAAGCGGTGAGACGGGGGGGGAAGGAGGATGAGGAGGAGGAGGAGGAGGAGGAGGAGGGGGAGGGGAAAGGGAGGCGGATCCGTACCCATTTCGGCACAGCCGCTCCCAACGGACATTTTTCGTTGGCTCGCGCTGGCTTCACGCTTGGCCCGGGCTTTTGGAGGTGCCCCTCTGTTCGCCTGAGATGGCACGGAAGGGCATGGGAGATTCATGCCCAATGGGTGCGGCTCCACGTCGCACTGCAGCCGAGCCTCGAGAGCGCCGAGAATGGACCCGCTGGTCGGCGAATCGGACGATCTCGCGCCTGACCGGCCAGTTGAAGGTGCAAAATGCTAAGTATGAGCGCCTTCGGAGCTCTATCTCTTGGCTGTCTGTGGAGTCGTCGCTGGGAGATCGCTAGGTGGCTCTTGCACCCGCCTTTGCCGACTTGCTCCCCAGACGTGCCCCAGATCATGTTGCGATCCCCCGGAGGAGCGTGGCGCTACATGCTGCGGTGCAGCCTGCAGTTTCGATTTCGACGGCTACGGTGGAGGAGCTCAAGCAGATGCAGTAGGGACCTCGCCTACCTGTGCAGTTGCTGCTGGATCCGGATCCAGATACAGCCCCGTTCATCCCCTGAGGAGCGTGGGAGCCCGTCGAACGCAGCGTCGAGGTGCTTGGGTGTGAGGCCATTGTTGCTCAGTACTCGTTTGTAGAGTCCCACCCCTCCACAGACGATGGCTCTGAGGGTGGTGTCGAATCATGGGTGCAGTGCAGCGTCGCGAAGAACGACGGTGTGGAGGCAAAGCCATGTCCAGCAGCTGCCGCATATCCTGGGCCCAGGTGCATGTGCGGAGCCGCTGTCACAGCTGTATGGTTATCGACTCCTTCGTGAGCGAGGCGCTGGCCGGGGGAGCGGCCGCCCCGCATGGACTCACCGAGAAGGGCGAATGTACAGTTTCTTTGAGGACGCCGTGCAAGGATCAGTGCGCAGCGGAGGGCGTATTCAACACTGCCTCTCGTTGTCTTCTGCCGACAGCCTCTGCGGCCCTCTGCGCGGACCCGATCAAGCAGGCCGTGCACATTCACTTGGTTCGTGTAGGAAATCACTACCAGAGTTGGTTTCCTTGGCACTATTTTGCGATAGTGCCCACCGTAGCGGGGTACCAGTTGAGTAGCTGATTTTGCAGCTTCCTACATCGGTCTGTTCGTGCATCATCGTATCCCCCCACTGTGTAATCAGCTGGGCAAATGTCAAAGATTTTTCTTCATCTCATGTTCGTATTGCCCCCGCGGCAGGTGCACGTCATCGGAAGTCCTGCACTTTCTAATGTTCAGTATTTGAGCCTCGGGATTCCACGGTGCAGGCCTTATCAGTATGAGCAACCCCTTCGGTCATAGATTGGCGCGTGGTATAGCAAAAGACCAGTGGAAAAGGGAGGCGGATGACGAGGAGGAGGAAGAAGACGAACAGGAGGAGAAGGAGGAGCCACAACTTCGCCACAGCACGCCACGCCGCAGGCCGCCCGACTCTGCCAACCTCCATGCCCTCCCTCCCCGTAGGGTCAGTCGCAACCCTCCGTTGTCGCCGTCTTGTCGTTCCCCCCCCCCCCTTCAAGGGACGGCCGGGGAGCACGCCCCGCCCCGTCAGGGGGAATCCTCCCTTGCCCGCGCGCTTCCCTATGTTGATTGCCCCCCCCAGAAGGGGGCGACCGCCCCCCATCGTGGTGCTGATGTCACCAGGTCCGAGGTTTGTGTGGGGGAAAGGCTACTGCTAGGACGGTGCTGCCGGACCGTCTGCGGTTAGAGAAGCGCGCACCAGCGGTGCATCGGAGTCTGCGCTTCCCTCCAGGACATGCCGAGGAGGGAAGGGGAGGCGGAAGAGCAGGAGGGGGACGGGTAGAAGGGAGAAGGATGAAGAGGAGAAGGGTGAGGAGGAGGAGGACAAGGAGGAGGAGGAGGAGGAGGAGGAGGAGGAGGAATCTGATGTTGATGAAAAGGAGGCGGTGGGGAGGGGAAGGGAGGGGGAGGATGCAGGAGATGATGTAACTGATGAACAATAACATGTCGATCTCGGGGAGGAGAATGCAGATCATGCTGAGTAGGGGGATGAGGAGGCGAAGGGATGAGCAGTGGAAGTGGGGAGGGAGGACTGGCGGGAGGGGATAGGGGGAGAGGGGGGGAAGGAGGGAATGATGAAGGGAAGGACGCTGATGATGATGATGATGATGATGATGATGATGATGATGATGATGATGATGATGATGATGATGATGCTGTTGTTAAGGATGATGACGATGATGATGATCCGCATCATCAGCACCATCATGATCATCATCATATTCATCATCGTCGCCATCACCATCATCATGGCAATCAGCATACTCATCATCATGATGATGGTGATGGTGGTGGTGATACTGGTGGTAATAATGGTGATGGTGGTGATGTTTATGCTGATAGTGGTGATGATGATGGTGGTGGTGATGATGCTGATGGTGGTGATGATGATAGTGGGGATGAGGATGAGCACGGGAATGATGGGGATGGTGATGGTAATTGTGATTGCGATGATGCTGCTGGGGATGCTGATGCTGATAAGGATGAGCATGATGTTGAGGACGCTGATGAGGATAAGGAGGGGGGATGAGGGGAGAGGGGGAGTGCGAGGAGGGGGGGAGATGAGGAGGAGGACCAGGAGGATGAGAAGAACTATGACCAGGATGAACAGGGCGGGAATGGCGGCGGACACGGGAGCAGAATCATCAAATTGGGGGCAGAAGCAATTCGATGAGACGAATGGAATGAAGACGATGACGACTATGACGACGATGATGATGGTGATGATGATGATGATGATGATGATGATGATTGTGTTGTTAAGGATGATGATGGCGATGCCGATGACGATGATGTCGATGATGCTGGGATGGTGATGGTGATTATGATGATGATGGTGGTAGTGAATAAGTTGGTGTGCTGGTGCTGCTGATGGTGATGGTGCTAATGAGGAAGGTGATGATGCTGACGATGATGGTGATGCTGATGATGATGATCATGATGATGGATCTGATGGTGGTCACTGGTGACGATGCTGGTGACGGTGATGATGATGCTGGTACAGGTGATGATGCCGCTGCTAATGGTGATGACGATGATAGTACAGGTGGTGGTGGTGATGCTGGTGATGTTGATGATGCTGGTTAGCGCTGGTGTTGGTGTTGGTGGTGGTAACGTTGATGCTCTTGATACTGATTTGTATGATGCGGATGAGTGTGATGATGTTGGTTATGATGATGTTGTTGATGCGGTTGGTGATGATGCTGTTGCTGATGATGATGATACCGACGATGATGATGGTGGTGGCGGTGGTTGTGGTGCGGGTAGTGGCGAGGATCATGATGATGATGCTGATGCTGGTCATGCTGATGCAGATGCTGCTTATGATGATTATGATGATGATGATGATGATGATGATGATGATGGTGATGGTGATGGTGATGGTGATGGTGATGGTGATGCTGCTGATGATTGTGCTGGTCATGGGCATGATGATGATCGTGACGATGAAGCGTAGGAGGCATATGACAGTGATGCTGTTGCTGGTGCTGATGATGGTGCTGCTGATGACGATGGCGACGATGTTTATGATGTTCTATGCGCTGCTGATGATTATTCCGATGCCGATGCTGCTGCTGTTGCTGCTGCTGATGATGATGATGCTGATGACGATATGATCATGATGTTGATGATGATGGTGGTGGCGGTGGTTGTGGTGCGGGTAGTGGCGAGGATCCTGATGATGATGCTGATGTTGGTCATGCTGATGCAGATGCTGTTTATGATGATGATGATGATGGTGATGGTGATGGTGATGGTGATGGTGATGCTGCTGATGATTGTGCTGGTCATGGGCATGATGATGGTCATGACGATGAAGCGTAGGAGGCATATGACAGTGATGCTGTTGCTGGTGCTGGTGATGGTGCTGCTGATGACGATGACGACGAAGTTTATGATGTTCTATGTGCTGCTGATGATTATTCCGATGCCGATGCTGCTGCTGTTGCTGTTGCTGCTGATGATGATGCTGATGACGATATGATCATGATGTTGATGATGATGGTGGTGATAATGAGTATGCTGATGGACATTGCTATGGTGATGCTGCTGATGAGGATGCTGCTGCTGATGAAGATGATGATGACGATGCTGGAAATGATGGTGACGATGATGATGCTGCTGACGAAGCTGATGATGATGATGATGCCGCTGCTGATGATGATGGTGATCAGAATGATCGTGCGGGTGATGGTAATTGCTGGTGATGAAGCCATTCGGACAATGATGTTGATGCTGGTTATGATGATGGTGTTGCTGTCGATGATGACAATGATTGTTAGGATGATCTATGTGATGCTGATGATGGTGATGATGATTATGAGATGATGATGATATGTTTGATGATGATGGTGATGATGCTAACGATGAGGATGATGATGATGATGATGATGATGATGATGATGATGATGATGATGATGGTGATGATGATGATGGTGGTGATTGTGGTGGTTGTGGTGGTTGTGGTGGTGGCGGTGATCTTGATGGTGCTGGGAAGAAGATGGGACGAACGAGGAGGAGGAGGAGGATGACGTGCCTGAGCTGCAGGAGCAGGAGTTGGGGAAGGTAGATGAGGCAGATAGACACATGGAAGATGGATGGAGGATGGGGAGGGGGAGGGGGAGGGGGAGGGGGAGGAGGAGGAGGAGAAGGAGGAGGAGAAGGAGGAGGAGGCGGAGTTGGGGGACGAAGAGTGGAAGGGCAAGGATGGAGGATTCCAGAATGAAGTCGGGTTATGTGGGTGGGTCATGGTCAGGTTCAGCTGGCCTGCTTTGTCGGCACGGCCTACGTGGCGTTCGGGGTCGAGGTCGGCCTGGTGCCGATTCCTCCTCGTCCTCCTCATTCTCCGCCTATTTCTCATTCCCGTGTTCCTCCCCTTCATCCCTCCTGCTGCTGCTACTCCTCCCCTTCCTGCCCGAACTCCTGTCCCTCTTCAGTCTACTGTTCATCAGCAGCGCCCTCCTCCCCCCTCTCCCCCTCCTCACCCATCCTCCTCCGCGTACAGTCGGACCGAGGTATCAGATCGAGGTCTGCTCGGGGAGGGCACCCTCATGTTCTTCGTGGTTGTTGGGCGTTCTTGTGCATCCTGGGGGAGGGTACCCTCGAATGCTCTTCATTTTGGCCGGCGGAGGGTCCCGTGTTCGTGAAGGATGTTTTTTCTGCCTCAGGTCCGACTGTAGTGGGAAAAGGGTTCCTCTCGTGCCCGTTGGGGGCCCACCCCGCTCCAGGAGCTGCGCGCATCCGTGGGTGTCGGGCGGGTCATTGCCCCTAGATGTGCGAACGTGAGCTCCACGGCGCCCCACAGTCATGTAACGGGCGAAGAGCGGTAGAACGGTATACCATAAGCGTGTCCGTCAACGGGGGCGCCTGTCCCAGGGCGGCTGGAAAGTTGATACCCCTTCGGTGGCACGTCAAGGCAGAAACTTTCCAGCCGCCCTGGGACAGGCGCCCCCGTTGACGGACAAGTTTATTTCATACCGTTTTCGCCCGCTAAGCAAGCGCCCCAGCGCGAGAGGTTCGCAGTGGGCATGGCAGTTGGTCCCACTCTTGCCGGGAGCCGAGGCCCTGCCGGGACCCCGCGGGGTCTATGTCTTGCTTCCCCGCATCCGTCTCCTGCCACCCCCACCCACCCCCACCCCCTGGGATCGCCAACGTCTCGGACAAGAAACACGGCGGCCTGTTGTTCCTCGTTATCGCGTGAGGCCTGGCGGCGTTCAAACAACGACCTCGGGATGAGAGGCCGGTCCAGGGGATAGGGTCGAGAGGTCCAGAGGTTGGCGATTCGAGAAGGTCGTGCCGTCGGGAGTGCAATCTGCAAGGTTTGGGGTAAGGCTTGCTTTGTTTTCGAAATGGCCTCGGTGTTGGTCACATCCCCAGGACGACATCTTCGTTATGGGCATGGAACTGGCGGCCTCAAGTGCGGCCAAGACAAGTAGTAGTGGAGTTGCTGTGCATCAGACTTGAGGGCGCGCGGATTTGATTCAGATATGTACTGGAGTTGCGGTGGAACTGACTTCCGTCCGCGTGGAGTCCCGTCTCCCATATCTGAGTTCCGTCCCGTTCGCTTTACCACGGGCCATAATGACACCTTGCTTAACATGTACACCCTGCAATGCAATGGCGGGATCTACCGAACATATGATCCAGTACCCCAGCAAGTTGTAGGTTTCAACGGGAGACAAGGGGACTCCTGCATGGTTTATCATTGCTTGCGCTCTGTAACAGCTCTCATTTCAAGAGGGGCATGCTGTCTTGCGTGAGTTCATATCGAAGACGCCTACGGCGAATCACCGCCGACCCCTGCCTTTTGGAAACGCTCATGCGGCCAAACATCAGGCCAGAATCAGGCCAAGCCATTAGACTATGTGTTCCCCGTGGGACCCCCATTGGGGAGAGGATGAGAAAGGAGGAGGAGGAGGAGGAGGAGGAGGAGGAGGAGGAGGAGGAGGAGGAGGGGGAGGAGGAGGAGGAGGAGGAGGAGGAGGAGGAGGAGGAGGAGGAGGAGAGGGAGGACAAGGTGGAGGAGGAAGAAGAGGAGGCCTCTTGAGGCCCTGTCGGGGCTCTCGGGGATTTCCTGGGAGCCTTTGGTGCGGCTCTAAGGGGCAACTTGGGAGCCCCCTGGGGCCTCTTGGAGGTCTCCCGGGACCTCTTGGGAACCTTTTGGGGACCTCGTGGGGACCTCTTGGGGGCCTCTTGGGGGCCTCTAAGGGGCCTCCTGGCCTTCGGAGGCCATCTTGGTCCCTTCCTGGGCAGTCGTGGGTCCTTCTTTGGGCGCTTGAAGCCCTTCTTGGATGTCTATGGGGCTGTCTTTGGACCCTCTTAGGCCGTCTTACGGGCTTCTTGGGAGTCTCCTCTTCCGTCTTGGGGCGACCTTGGGGACCTGTGGGCCCGTCTTGGAGCGTCGAACGCAAGAAGAAGCGAGAGCGCTAAAATAATCGAACAACCCTCAGGATCTCAAGGAATTTGGACTCCTGGAAGACCTCTTGGAGCCCACTTGGGGCGTCGTAGGCGCCTCTTGGGCCGTGTGGAGGACAGACATCATGGGCTGTTTTGGCGCCATCCTGGCCGTCTCGGAGGCGTCTCGAGACCGTCTTGGAGGCCATCTTGGGTCATCTTGGCCGTCTTGGAGACATCTTGGAGGTCATCTTGGGCCATCTTGGCCGTCTTGGAGACGCTTGGGCAGACGGAGGGCGCAGTTTATGCAGCTCTCCGGGTTGGGCCGGAGCCCCACAGGGATTTTTTCAGAAAAGGACCAAACACCTCCCAGACAGCCAGCATGCCGTGCACCCTTTGTGGCAAATTACAGGGGGCGGCGGATCGAGGACGCCTACGGCGAATCCCCGCCGCCCCCTGCCTTTTAGGATACGCCTATGTGGCCAAACGTTTGGGCAAGATTTGGCCGCGCTATTGGACCATGCGTTCCACCAGCCGTTGTGGAAGCCCTTCGGGGAACACGTGGGGAAGAAAGAGGAGGATCAGGAGAGGGAGGAAAAAGGAGGATGAGGCGATGGATGAGGAGACCTCGTGGGAGTTTTCCCTGGGTCATTCTTGTGGGCTCCTGGGAGCCTCCTGGAGGCCTCTTGGGGCCCTCTGTGGGCCTCCTGGGGGCCTCTGAAGGCTTCTTCGGGCTTTTGGGGCCCCCCGACGGCGGCGCGGGGCTCCCGCGAGCGCCCACAGGGGGCACCCACTGGCGGGCACCAGGCGAAACTTCGGCGGACCCACCAGGGGCACGGGGCGCCCACGAGCGCCCACGGACGGGCGTCCTCGTCCTCGTCGCCCTCCTCCTCCTCCTCCTCCTCCTCCTCGTCGTCCTCCTCCTCGTCCTCCTCCCATTCCTTCTCCTCTTCCTCCTCCTCCTCCTCCTCCTCCTCCTCCTCCTCCGCCTCCTCCTCCTCCTCCGGACGGGCGGGAGCGTGCAGCATCCTCGGCGGCCCCGCTCAATTGCGTGAGCGATCGAAGCAGGAGCCCCTCAGTGCAAGCGCGGGTGGGGACAAGAAAGCGTAAACGTAAGCGCTCAGATGCTATGCTCAATCCAGTGCGCAACGAAGTGGTTGGTCGGAAGCCAGAGGCACAACACACACACACGCATACACACACGCGCATAGTTGTTTCCAGAGCAGGCGCTGGTATTCCAGGCAGTCGGAGAAGCGTCTGGAAGAGCGGCCGTCTAGAGGCGACTAGAGAGCCCGCCGCACACGTCTTCTCCCTCAGCGGCAAGGTAACAGCACCGTCGCGAAGCGCTAAGCCGGGACACGCTTAGGCGACTCTCCGCTTCGCGCTAAGCGTCGACGCACGCCACACACACACACATTCCGAGGCGCAGGCGGCGCTGTCCCAGCCGCCGCCCAACTGAGCTGCGAGCGCGGCGCGTGCCTAGAGGGGGGCTCGCGAGGGAGGTGGTCTTCTGAGAGGGCGGGGTTTTCTTGGAAGCCTCCTGGCCCTTCCCAGAAGGCCCTCAGCCCCCCGCCTCCTTACAGGGGAAGCCCGTGCCAAGAAACGCCCTGCTTGCCTCCAAGGTGCCATGGGTTTCTTTGGTTTCGGTGCTTTTGATTTGCCAAGCGTGACGTTCCCACACCCACAATCCTGGGGTCTCAGGGTTGGGTTTCTTGTGGTCGAGCCCCTGTTGTAGGAGGCCGCCCCCCTCGCGCCACCCCCGTTCGGGCGCGGCGCCACGAAGGACGAGGAGGCGCCTCTGCAGGGGCGAACCCGTGGGCCTAGCGAGGTCCTAGGCTCCCTTCTCGACCAGCCGCTCTCTGCTCCGTCCGTCGGTGGGCACAGACACGGTGAAGGCGTTCGATAAGGAGTGCACCAGGAGGATCCAGACCCCGGAGGGTTCCTTACCTGATGAGGTCGGCGGTGACATCCACGGCCAATCCACGATGGGTGTTGCACCAACTTCCAGACCCTGGATTCCTTATCCAATGGTTCCTTGTCCAATGCCCCCATAGATAACCTCAGCTGCCCAGGTCGACGTCGAGGCCGCAGTCAACGGCTTCCCGCGAGCGGGCCGCTTCCCGTGGAGGACTCCGCGGGCCTTTGTGTGCGCCGCTGGGCCGTCCCTTGCCTGCCTGGTGCTCCTCCTCCTCCTCCTGCCCCTCCTTCTCCCTCCCTCGTCCCCATGTTCCTGCGTCTTCTCCTTATCCCCTTCTCCTCCTCGTCCGCCTGCTCCTCCGTCCTCTTCCTGCTGGCCCTTTTTCCTCCTCCTCCTCCTCCTCCTCCACTATCCCTCGCCATCATGATAAGCATCCTCGTGATCATGAGCAGCAGCAGCAACATCATGCTGTTACTCGTTCCCCTCCTCCCCGCTCCGCCTCACCCTCCTCTTCCTCCTCCGTCACGTCCCCCTGTCCCTTCATCACATGGAGGGAGGATGGGAGGAGAGGAGAGAGGGGAAGGGAATAGGTATACGGGAATGGTGGATAGGAGGAGCGGGGGCGGAGGAAACTGTAGATGGGGCGGAATGGATGATGCGGAGGGCGCGGAACACCAGCAGTGGAAGGGGCGACATTCGTGATGCTAACCATGGATGGTGATGATGATGCTGACGATGATGAAGATGACGATGACTATGCTAATGCTGATGAGGATGATGGTGGTGGTGGTGATGGTGAGTATGCTATTGACGATGGTGATGATGCTGATACTGATGCTGATGCTGATGATTATGTCGGCGACGGTGACGGCGACGGTGACGGTGACGATTTTGGCGTTGATGACGATGATGACGGTGATGCCGATTATACCGGTGATGACGATGTTGATGCCAGTGGGACGGGTGGGTCATTATGATGATAATGGCACGGTTGTTGGTGTTGTTGATTATGTTGGCGACGGCGAAGATAACGATGATGATGATGATGATGTTGATGATGGTGGTGTTGTTGCTGGTGTTCATCATGCTGTCGCCGCTGATGGTGCTGACGACGATGATGGCGGTGATGTTGATTTGCATGATGCTGATAGTGACGAAGGTGAGCATGAGCATGACTCTGCTGTTGATGGCGATGATGGTGATGCCGACGATGCTGCTGATGATGACGATGATGGTACTGGTGCTGATGAGCATGGTGCTCTTGATGCAAAGAATTATGACGATGGCGAAGGCGATGGTAGTGGTGACGATGCTGATGATGATGCTGTTGCAGATGATGACGACGATGATGACGATGATGACGATGCTGGTGATGATGGTGATGAGGAGAAGGAGGGCGAGGCCGATGATGAGGAGGACGAAGATGCCGATGATGCGATATGTTGTTGATGATGATGATGATGCTGATGATGGTGATGGTGATGATGATGATGATGATGATGATGATGATGATGATGATGATGATAGTGAAGATGCTGATGATGATGCTGATGCTGCTGATGCTGATGCCGATACTGAGGATAAGGACGAGGCTGCTGCTGTTAATGATGATGGAGATGTTGGCGGTGGTGATGACGATGACGACGGCGATGATGTTTGCTTATGGTAATATTGTTTATGATGGTGATGATGGTGATAATGGTCATGATGCTCTCGATATTGACGATGCTGATACTGGTGATGATGGCGATGATGTTGATGCTGATGCTGTTGCTGCTGCTGATGATGCTGCTGCTGATGATGCTGGTGATGATGATGCTGATGATGATGATGATGATGACGATGATGATGATGATGATGATGATGATGATGATGATGATGATGATGATGATGATGCTGAAACCATTCGGACATCTTGAGAGGACGAACGCATGAGGGATGAGATGATGCGGCGGTGGCGGAGGAGGAGGAGGAGGCGTTTCGCGAGCCAGGACGCATGGTGGGGCACTGTGGGTTAAGCCCGCCCGTGACGGGCATGGACCTTTCTTCCGCAGGAGAGGTCGACGAGGAGGAAGAGGAGGAGGATGAGGAGGAGAGGAGGACGAGGAGGAGGACGAGGAGGAAAGGAGCGGGAGGAGGAGGAGGAAAAGGAGGAGGAGGTGGAAGAGGAGGAGGAGGAGGACAAACGCAACAGGTTTGCACCTAATGTCGGTCTAACGTAAAAGGAGGAGGAGAAAGAGGAGGACGTGGAGGAGGAGGAGGAGGAGGAGGAGGAGGAGCGGGAGCGGGAGTAGGAGGAGAAGGAGGAGGGGGGGAGGGGGAGTGGAGCGGGAGGGGGACAAGGATCACGGAGGAGAGGTGCGGAGGAGGAAGAGGAGGAGGAGGAGGAGGAAGAGGGCCCTTGGCCGTGCGTCCTTTTTATCCGCCTCCAGGTTTCTACCTGCTCCTCCCTGCCTGCTCCCTGTCTCCTCCAACTTCAGGCGATTTTCTGGAGGCGGTGATTCGGCTCGGGCACGCGGTGGCGGAAGTGGCATGTGGGTCGTGGCGCCGCCAGACTCTGCCCGAGCTAGAATGTACGGACGTGGTGCTGCTTCTCTCCCCCTGCTTCTGCTGCTGGCACGCCTCTGTCCTCTCACTCTTCGGCTGCGAGGAGGAGGAAGAGGAGGAGAAGGAGGAGGAGGAGCAGGAGGAGGAAGGGAGGAGGGGAAGCGGGACCAGGACTATGAGGAGGAGGAGGAGGAGGAGGAGGAGGAGGAGGAGGAGGAGGAGGAGGAGGACGGGAGCGGGAGGACGAAGAGGGCGGGAGGGGAGGTGCGGAAGGAAGGGCGGCGCATCGCAGTGAGCTTCTGCGGGCCCGGCCCGCGCTCCCCAGCTCGGTGCCCGACCTCGGCATGCAGGCGCACCTGGCGGGGGCGATGGCCGCGCTGGCTCTGGAGGAGGCGACGGCGAGAGGCCTCCCCCCCGACGGCGCCAGACCCCATCGAGGAGGCTCGAGGATGTATGGTTCTGTTGGCGTGCGTGGGCTTCTCCTGGGCCTCCTCGTCGCCACGGCTGGGTCCACCTCAGCACCCAGGCCAGAGCGCACCCCTGGAGAGGTCCAGGGGCCGATCTTCGACCGCCGGATTCAGACCCCCCTCCGCGCCAGGCAGGCACGCGCAGTGCGCCGCGCGCAGTTCGCCTGGCGCGCCAGGCAGGCCTGTCGAACCTGGCACTCCTGTCGCGGCTGGGACGTTCGGGTTGGCACATCCTCGGGAAGAAGGCCGCGGCGGGAATGGCCGCTCGCGACCCCCCCGCGCCGTGAGAGAGCCGTCGCCGGAGGGTGTTCCCGGGTCGCCTCCCGCCTCGCGAGGGGCTTCTGCAGGGCCCCAGGGGCCGTCAGGAGACGGCTCGGGGCGAAACGCAGGCTCCCTTGGCATCGCTCGGACGTGTGCGTTGATCTCTGCGAGGCCAGCGCCAGAAAATCTGCACCGTCTAGAAGCATCTTGGATCAGTTGGGCAAAAAAACACGCACGGCGTCGAAAAAAACAGCCCGGGGGACGGACGTCCGAGCGATGGCAGGCTCCGGGGCTGCGACAGAAATGACGACGTCGGGGCTCGTCCTCCTCGCAGTCGTCTTTGCCGACGTCGTCCTCTTTGTCCTCCTCCTCGTCCTCAGCTGACGGGGATGTACCGATGCATGCTGATCTACCTGACCACTCTGGCTCTGATGAGCCTCGTCTGCGTAAGTTTTGAGCTGAACGTCAGCTGCCTTTCCAGTTCGTCAAGCAGTTCGTGCAGTTGCAGAAGCAGATCTACGAGGTACCCCAACCGGAGGCGGTGTCCGACGCAGGGTCTGATGCCGGTGATATTCTGCCTCCTGACGTCGCTAATGAGCTAGCTGGCCGCCCTCAGGAAACGGTCCCTCGAGGGCGTCATGGAGCAGTCCGACCAGCACCGCATGGAGGAGCTCATGTCCCAGAAGTCTGCAGCACGCGCGGCCAAGCGTATGCGGTGGGCCCAGGACGCAGTCGGTGCGCAGTTCAAAGATCTCTTCCAAGCCGCTGTCCAGCAGATGCCCAGGCCATCGGTTTAGCAGTGATCCGCGTGTGAGGCTTGTCTATTGTAATATAGCTCGTTGGAGTGCACTGGCGAAATCTTTCCTCGCCGATTTGCATATGAAGGCTGACGCCTTCCTGTTTTGTGAACACCGCCAGCTCCCCTTCGACTTGAAGGATGCAGAACGACAGGTGGCCGCCATGAAATGGCAACCTCATGTTTTGCCTGCCTATCCCTCCCCAGGGGGTGATGCCCATGGGTGGGGGTAGGAGCTGCGGTGCACGATCTGCTTTTCTTTAAGAAGTTTCTCACGCATGATCGCATGACCCGTGAAGTAGGTGCTGGTAATGGTTGGATGTTTCGGGGATTGAAAGCCCACGGGTGCACCCTAGCCGTAGGACTAGTCCATTGGGTCGTTGACTTGGGGGTCTTGGGGGAGATCATTCGGAATATGAGGCACACCAGTATCTTCGTCAATTCGCTCAGTATCCCTTGGTTGTTGGTTGGTGGTCTTAACTTTGATCTTGAACTTATGGAACCCTGTGGGTTTTTGGAGACGGCTCAGAGCAGAGTGTTGCCGCCTGTGGGTGTTCAGTACACGTTCGGTATGGGGAAGGGTGCGCTGATTGATTATGTGGTTGCTAGTGGGACCCTGGCGCCATACCTGAAGGTGAATAAGTATCATGCGTCCCCTTTCAAGACGCATTGCGCGCTCGACATCCAGCCTCCGCATGCAGCTCTTTTGCAGGAGTTGGGTAAGAGAGTGACGCCGCGAAGTGTCCCAGTGGTTGAAGGGCCACGCCTTCCATGGTCCCATTATCTTGCTGCTACCATGGCGCGGCGGCGTGCTGAGAACCTGTCTTACCCCCACCTCGTACCTCACACATGGCAGCACTTATCCTACGACTTGACGTCGTATTATCAGATATGGTCACGAGCTCTTGAGAGTATGAGCATGATGCATGGCAATATCGAGTACGAGCACGAGTATGCATATTATGTTGGGCGCGGCACGCATTCGAGTATACGGCAGACCACGCTTGTCGATTACCGTAACACGTTTGGAAGCTTTCTGGAACCAGCACTGACGTACTGGTCGACTGTTTCCCATAAGTTGTTTGAGCTGAGAGTGGTAGTACAGCATGGGTATCATAGCATGGGTCTTAGGCTGGTTCGCCGTCTCTATGCATTGGGATAGCGCGTGGACCAGTTCACGGCGTGCTTGCCTGCCGGCCAGTCTGGTGCGGAGCGGCGAGCTCAGCTGTCTGATTTAATGAGTGTCGGTCCTGCGCGCTGCCAGGAGATGATCGATCGATGCTCGCGCGCGCTCACCAAGGCCTGGCACGCTGTCAGGACCTCGCCTGCCAAGGCGGTCAAGGACTGGCTCGTGCGGGCGCTGCCCCAGGGGGCCAAGGAGGCCCATGCGTGGCTGAAGCGTGACCAAGGTGAATCGCTGGAGTATTTCGTCGCCCCCGACGGCGTGCTTCAGCTGCCAAAAGAGATGACGGCTCACCGCACCCAAAAAATGGAGTCGCTTCTGAACGGCCAGCCCATCCCAACTCGATGCGCCCGATGAAGCGTTGGATGAGCTAAGACTGCGGGCGCTGCAGGTCACCCATGAGTTTCCTGATATTGAGCCCCTGGATGTGTTTACGGCGAGCCGAGTTTTCTCTGAAACTACTGTTGCAGGCGTTGACCCTTGGAGGCCCCGTGATTTCCTGAATTTGGACCCCCAGGCTCTGGCCGCCCTGGCTCGGCTGTTTACGTCGTGCGAGAAGGCCATCATGTGGCCCGCTCATATTTTTTCGGGGGTTATCTCCCTTTTGCCCAAAAGCGCTCTTGACGGGCGCCCTGTTTGCGAGACTCCGATCCTTTATAGGGTTTAGTACAACATCCGTTGGTTTTTCTTGGGGCAATGGTCCAGGGGGCACATGGCTGTCTGGGGCGACGCGGCCCGCGGGAGCTTTGCCCTACAGGCTGCTCTCCAGGGGGGATATGCCATGAGGTTGCTATGTTCGAGGGCGTCAAGAGCGCGGCGGCGCATTGGGATCTCACCTGGTTTGTTTGACACGATGGCCCCCGCGCGGCTCATCTCTTTCGCTTGCGATCGTGAGTTTTCCCCTCACCTCCTCGACCTGGGCCTCCTGATTCATGTGGTTCGGGGAATGTTGGGATCTATTGGTTTCTGTTATGATACTATCGCCTCGGGCATTTCGGGCCCTCCCTGGGTGCGCGCAGTCTACGTCTTGGGTCAAGGTGTATATGTGCCTGATCTTGCATGGCGTTCTCCATCGGTTTTGCACCTGGGGTCCCCACTAGGTCGCACGCAGATGATCTCCCCCAGGTGGCCCAGGATAGTGCGGAGGAAGTGCGCAAGAATATTGTTTGCGCGGCTGTGCAGTTGAGAATATCGGAGGATGGGACGCGAGCTGGATCACGAGGGGCCGGCTATTTGGATGAATACCGTCTCGGGAGGTTTTTGGGCGGAGTTTCGATTGCGCGAAGCTGGCACCGAGTCTGCCGCCCCGGCGTTTGTGTGCGCTGCGGGGAGCAGCAGGATACCCCTTCCCACCTTTTTTTGGCAATGTCGCACGAACGGGTTCAATCCAGACACGACGGTCGGCGACTCCGCCCACTTGTCTGCTCAAGATGATTGCGTTGCCCTGTGGCGCCGCGGGCTCATGCCGCTTGGTCACACCATGGGGCGCCTCCTCGCTCCTTCCGACGAGAGTTGGTTCTGGGGATCGTTCGAGGCTCGGAAGGTCAAGGAAGGGGGAGTTGGGGGGATCAACGGGTCGGGAGGGAAGTTTGCTAAGGGTTCCAGACTGAGGAGACGCGGGCGGGCTTGCGTGCGCCTGTCCGCTACCTTAGACGATGATGATGGTGGCTTTGCTGGCGCCCTGCCAGGCCCCGACCAGTCGCCTCCTCGCGCCGAGCTCCTGGCGCTGATTTTTGTATTCAAGTATACTTCAGGCAGAGTTCTGGTTTTCAGCGACTACCTTCCTGTCGCCCGTGGTTTCCGAAGGCCGAGGTCGGCCATGATAGATTGTGATGTGGTTGATGTATGGGTTAACCTCTGGGGAGTCCTGGGTCGACGGAGTGGGGGCGTGGACTTAACGTTGGACAAGAGTCACCCCACCGAAACCCAAGTCATCGCCCTCGGGCTAACCCGCACCGAGCCTTTTTTGAACGGAGCTGCAGACGCATGTGCGTCAGAAGCTGCGAGGAGGGCCGAGGTTCCCGAGCATCTTTCGGCTCGGACTCCTTTGCAAGATGACCTACGCGTGGCCATCCTCCGACGCCTCGTGGCCATCCAGCGAGACGTTTTCTCGACTTGCCCTCGTGACGGGCCGAATGCTCGCGCTGGGAGAGACGAAGGTCTCGACGGCGTGCGTCGGAGGAAGCGCAGTTTCGCAGCAGCTCGCGAAGATAGGGTGCGAGAGCAAGGCCACTGCCCCGTCCTGCTCCGCACCCTGATCAAGTGTAGTATCTGTTGTGCCAAGTTCAGTGTACGCGGGGCGGTGTCTGATTTCTGGCCCAGCGCGTGCACTGGCAGTCGTTTCGCACGCTTCGCCGCCTCGAGGAGTGAGGATCAGGTTTTTGACCCTGGGCCCGCGGTAGTAGGCGCTGGAGCTCACCCGTTGGCCACCCATTGCCACGAGACCCATTCCTTGTCTGCGTTGAATGGGAGTGTGTGTTGCTCGACCTGTGGGTGCTTCGCGGTGCAAAGCTGTCGCGGCCTGCGGGTGCAGCTCGAGCCTTTGACCCGCACAGGACTGCAGGTCCTGCGGCGTCTGGCACGAGGGCTCCCGCCGGAGTCGGGCGTGTCTTTCCCTCGAGAGTGATATGGCTGGGGCGGCCGGGCTTGCACTCGGGAGCCGCGCACTCGCCATAGCGCCATAGCGTCGTGCTGCACG